ATGGAAAGTGATTGAAATAAAAACAAAGTGACAGTGACGAGATTCGAACTCGTGACTCCGGAGAGACCAGTGCCTTAAACTGGCGCCTTAGACCGCTCGGCCACACTGCGTGTCATCTTTTAAGACAGAAAAGATTTAAAAATCAGCTGTAACAAAAACGTGAACGTATATATCTAAGAAAATCAAGGGGGAAAAAACAACACTTCACTATACTACACTACACTTTGCACACTTTGGTTACATAGTGGGCTGTAGTTAGCTGTAGCGGTTGTGTAGTGCACTGTAGTGGTTGTGTGGTGGGCGGTCGTGGATGTGTAGTGGGCTGTAGTGGACAATCCCTTGTAGTGTAGTGTAGTGTTGTTTTTTTCCCCCCTTGCATCAGAATCTCCATACAGTACATTCGACGTTTCATAATGCTTTGTCTTTACACACACTTGTAATACCCTTGTGATGACAGCCTGTTTAACGTTCGAACAGAGTAAGTTATTATAATCGTTTATTTGTTGAACAAATCCAATGTACAGTTTTCAACAACAAACAAGATCAATGAATCATTTGTTTCAGATGATCTCGATAGTACGCTGTAATTTTGGCCTCGTATTTGTTCTCCGCGCCATGTTTCGCGGTTCAGGTTTGATGTTTGATTCATTTAACGAATCAAAAACGTTTCTATGAAGAGATACAAAATTCTCGTGAAAAGAGCACAATATCTTCTAGATTGTGCATAATTCTCACACAAAGCAACATATGTTTGCGTGTGAATACGTTATTCCCCTGACCTAGACAAAAAAGTACCTCACAGTACATAGCATAATTCTCATTCTCCTGTACCAGACAAAAGATTCTAAAAGGAGATATAAACTCTCGTGGGAACACGATAATATCTTCTCGATCATGCATAACTCTCATAGAAATATATTATTCCCATGTACTAGACAAAAAAAGTAACTGTGAGAGAAACATAAATTCGCGTGCATCGAGCATAATACTTAGGGCTAACCAAAAGTTCGTAGAACAATAAATAAAGGACTCTGTCGAACAAGATGACTATGTCTCAATTGCAAAACCAAATACATCATCGTGTAAAGCTTTTCAAGGCACATCGAATGGTATATAAGAAATCTATTTTTCGACAAGTTCGTAGGAAATTAGATTGAGTTTACTGACGAGGAGACAGGATCCAAAATTGTGGTACATAGCTACTCAGTATTCATCCACATTGTTAGTCGATGGACTCCATAAAAAATATTTCCTATATACAGTTGTATAAAGTCTTTGATGGGCTACAATTTGATATATTTCACATCTTCAGTTATCTAATGTTTGAGAAAAAAAGATGATTACCTATCTGGATTGATAGCACTTTTACCACAATTGTGGATCCTGTCCTGTCATCAGTAAACTCGATCTAGCTCCCTACGAACTTCGAAAAATAGATTTCTTATATACCATTCGATGCACCTTGAAAAGCTCTGCACGATGATGCATTTGGTTTTGCAATTGAGACAGTCATCTTATTCGACAGGGCTCTTTATTTATTGTTCTACAAACTTTTGGTCAGCCCTAAGTATATTCTAGATTGTGCATAATTATCACAGCAAGCAGCACACTTCTCTAGTAAATACATTTCTGTGACCTAGGCAAAAAAACGTTCGATGAAGAAACAAAATTCTCGTGGAGTAGCATGATCACGGTTTCATGATTCCTTTCCCATCCCTCGCTCCGGAACCTTGAGGGATAGAGAGCTGGGACTTGTGTCGTTAGAAATGGAACATTTCTTCTATATACTAGATGATTTTTGAGACCAGGTTGCTGTCTCACATCTTCAAATAGCAAGCTCAGACATTTTGCTTCGAAGGGCTTACGATGGTAAAACTTGTTCGGCCGGTAGACTTTTTCATAGATCGATGTGTCTCGATGTCTAGTTTCGAAAACTGAAAACCACAAGTCGCTAGCTCTTTCCTGTAAAAAGTTATTCAAAAAGCAGTGGAGTTCTTTCTATTGGGAAATAGGTAATAGTTTCAAATGTCCTACCTCAAAAGAAATGAGTTTTTAAAAACATTGTATAAAACATGTTTTAATTCATTCATATACGTCGTTGACGGTAATACATATATTAAAAATGTTGCCATTTGAGGAATAAATGAAATAAAATATTCAATTATAATTAAATAACTTTGCCATGATTTAATTTCAGTTATACATGTAAACAAAGAAGCAAATATTAATGTAAATAATGCTTATAAAACGAATACGATTGGATTTATAATTAAATGCTTATAAGCATCAATTTACTGTTGTAAGATGTTAATATAATTACTATGGATTTTATTTTTGATGAACGAACTATTATTATAAATGCTGATGACAAATTGATTGTAAACGGTGTAACAAAATGCATGATGTATATTATTGAATTATATATTTCTAAATATTTATTTCGAAAAGTAATTACACACCAAGTGCGACCATTTATACGTGAATCATTTATTATTTGATAATTAAATAGACTGTGTATCGTTGTTATAAAGCTGAATATAATAATAAGTGAAATAATAATTTTAGCTGCAGTTTTGCTTGATTCCTTCTTAAATTTTATTTCAGATAATACAGTAAAAGTACGTTAAATTGAAACAAATGCATTTATCCAATGGGTTATTGTTGGCAGAAATGTTAACAAAAATTTCATCACAGTACAATTTAATACGTGTCGTAGATAAATTATTCATTTGTGTTAACAAAAGATAAATAAATTTTATACCAAACACAACTAAACTCAGTTGACCAATTATGGATATTATTAATAAATAGATACCATATCCAACTTCACCACATTTCGATTGATAAAATGTTATTATTGAAAGGCCATTTAATATAATCCAGTTATAACCATTAGAATGGTAAAAATTACGTATAACTTGATGATAAGTGATTGTTGGTTCAATGGTGTATACATCTTTATTTCTTGACCGATGGACGCATCTAACGATATTGAATATTGACTGGTCGTAAACTGGCATAATGAACCATAATAACAACCTTAAATTAAGCACAATTTTGCTTGATAAAGTTAATTTCTAGAGACTGTCCAAAGAATCGTTTGCTTTCTAAGAGGTGTTTTACTTTTTTTTGCATCAATCTTATTGAGAAAAAATCTTCTGAGTGAGACTGTTCTGGCTGAAGGTATGCGTTTACCAGATGAAAACGGGAGGGGGCATAGTGCTTTGACAAGAATGGTAGCCGCTGGATTTTAGGACGATAGGTCAAACTTTCTAATTTTAGTTTCGTAGTCAGTCTAGTGGACGTTATATGTCGAGATTTATTTTGTCAACGTCACCTTTTAGGTTATAAGTGAGATTAAATCATTGCAACATCACATTCGTAACTCTGTGTAAACGCATCTTATTCAGTTCGATGATGAGTGGTGGCATGGAAAAGGGTTAGTTATCGAATGTGGGAGTGGGACCGTACCCAGTCAACGTGTATATTTTTGATCAAAACAAATTATTTCCGAATTTGTTAGTTTCTGATTGATATGAGGTTCTGGATGCTCGGAAGTCATTTTTATGCGAAAAGAGAGCACCCCCGACAATAAAAATTAGCCTGCTCTGTAGAAAATGCACACTGCCAATGGAAGTAACTGGGGTAGAGATCCCTGACCTAACCAAATGGAATATGAACATGATGAAAACTGATTATACCTGGCCAAATACGAATAATTTAATGGATTTTTCTCATTATCGTTAATACAAATACCATCATTATCACAGTAAGATAGACACATTTCTGAATGTTATGATCAAAATAAAAACATTCACTATCATGTGTTTGATCACATAAACAGAAATACTATTCATCATGTACTAAATCGATATTTTCTCGACATGGTTTTTGATAATATTTAACACGCCTTAATCGATTGAACTTCATTACTGTACTATTTAGAATTTCTTTTACATTTAGACAATAATTTTGTTGAACTACGGTTGTATTCAAAATTAAGTCATCTGTCCATTGTCTGTTTGTTGCATTTAGTAAAACAATAAGATAGTATAAACCGTATAGATTAGATATCCGATCAGAAAACATTTTTAAATAAACAACATCAAATCCATTTGACTCATAAAATACTGTCAGCATCCATTTATAATTAATATTCTGATACAATTCACTTTTATTATATTCATGTAACGATCCTAATCGACCGGTAGACGCTGAAAAAAAATGAATAATAACTGCCGGAATTTTATCTATGTTACTGGTACTGATGCTAATGTTGTCGTAGTCAAATATAATATTAATTCGACTTTATTTCTTTTTACAGCTAGAATCACTTGTATATTCTTCTTGACAAATACATGCATATTGTTTATCACTGTATTTTTGAGTACTTATATCGGTCAATGGCAAACATGTAACATTATTATGACAAGGATTTTCACTACAAGCATTAAATTGTACATTACAAAATGAACCAATCATATTTAATGGACAGATACATGTGGTAAGGGATGATTTTCACCGTTGTCTGTTAACATCTATTGAATTTTTTGAACACATTTTTGTTTTTTGTTCATATAGCTTATTAACTTCGTTACATAGTCCACCGATCCAGCCGTTAGAATATTTAAAATAATATTTTTTACTATTCATTGAGTTAGCATAGGGTACGCAAAAGTCGTGATTACACCGAACTTTTTGACAGATATGTTCATTTAGGGCATTCATTTCTGTAGGGATAGAGAGTTTTAATACTAATCGTTGTACAGGTAAAAATGAAAATAAAATATCATAATATCATGTTGTTATGAATTCTAACTTCTTTTCTTGTTTTCTTTCATTAGGTAACCATTAATCTGAACATAATAATTATCTACTTCAATCGAATCAGTATGTTGATGTAATAAATATAAAATATATTTTTCTGCTGAATAAAAATATGGTGAATGCATAATTTGTTCGAAATGAATAATACTTTTTGAATTATTCGATATTAAATAAAATACTAATTTTAAAACAATTGTAGGTTGACGTTTAATTGATAGATCATTGATAAACGTTTACGTTGATATTCACATTGTCTTCCATAATAATATGTTGGACATAAACAGTGCGGTTTACCTGCATACTGATGATGAATTAAGATACCTCGATTACAATACCATGCATAGTAAATTTCGTTGTTCATTTTTACTGTTAATATTTGAATAGATTTCTGCTCGTTATATTTACTAGTAATATTTTTATTCCTAAGACTAATTAAATAGTCCACCAATTCATGTGTGGACGATTTGATAATGGATAAGCATTAAAAGGATCCAGATAATTCACATAAGTTATTAAATCTATTGGACGTGGATTATCGGTTATATCCCAATACAATTCATCTTCACTATTCGAGCCATCATTACCACCCATGTCGCCAAAACCAAAAAATTTTTTCAAATTTTACGCAGAAAAACGCATGCAAAAACTTAAGTGAAGTAATGCAAAATATGGTTACACGAGCAAAATAAATACAATATTTTGTGTAAAAA